GCGTTGGAATCTTGTTTTGACATAGATTCTTTGTTATTTTTTTCAATTGTACAATTTGCATTAAGGTCGATATTTTTTTGTTTTTTTTTGTATAAAATTCGAAAATAATTGGCTTCTGAGCCAGCTATCGACTCGAAAAAAAAAACACATATTCTCAAATCATTTCTCGAAATTATGCTGCTGAGAAAAAAAATGGTCAGTTTGACAAAAAGTTATTCATCCTTTTGTGGGTGCACCGCGGTGGCCGCTCACGTATAGTTATAACTATAGTTCCGAACGCGGCGTCAGCCACCGACGTTACGGTGGTCTGGAATGATACTTTTCTAATCAAAATTAATTTGTGAACTTAATAATTGACTTTGAGCTTGTTTTTTTGTATTAAATTTAGTAATAAATAGGCTTTATATTGGGTATAAACAAAAATAATTTTGGCTCATTATATTTTGTTTCATAAAAAAATAATTTTTTCTGATTACTCATTTAAAAAAATATATTCTGCCCTTATAAATAAACGTAAAGCCTTGTGTTTTTTGTTTGTTTTATTAAGAAATAAATAGGCTTTGCTGTGAGGAAGCCAAATATATTTTATGTCAAAGTAACTACACTTTTTTTTGTAAAAAAAAATTTGTATGTATTAATAAACTAAGATTCTTGTTTTGGTTGTTGATTTATTAAGAAATAAATGGGCTTTATCGTGATAAAAACAAGAACCTTTTATGTGCATTATATTTTGTTTTAAATTACGCATAACTTAACATAAGGTAACGGAACCAGTCGTTGACAGTGAACCAGTCGTTGACAGTGAACCAGTAGTTGGCAGTCTGAAAAAATAAGAATGTTTCTTTTACTGCAACCAATCTGTTGGACCTGCGCAAAGCATGCGCCATCTATATTCATATACATGCACTTCTCTGCCCCACTAACTCACAATGCTTGTGCATCAAATTAGTGTTTTTTAAGGGCGTACATTTTTTTGAACTTGAAAATATTATTGTGTATATTTGTTTTTAAAGAACTATTTGGACCTAACAGTTTTATACATGGTAAGTTGGCTTATACATTATTTAAAAAAACATTTCATCCATTGTATAGAAGTTTTTTATCTGATGTCATCTACTGGTACTTACAACAGTATATGCCCCAGTAGTTGACAGTAGTGTCAACTACTGGTGAATTTATTGTTAATATTATTTGGTATTGAAAACGCATTACAACATAACATCAAGTCTGCCTATTCCACAAAATGTATATAAAGTAAAAATTTCCATCCGTACCAGTAGATGACACCATATCATCTAGTGTACCCATGGGTGTCAATTACTGGTGTTCCTTGTTCCTTTCAGATTCATAATGCCACCAACCAAAGGGAACATGCTGAAATATTCGGAAGAACAAATGAAAGCTGCAATTGCTGCAGTTTCTAATTGCGAATCAGTTTCTTCAGCAGCAAAAAATAATGGAGTGCCTATAAGTACACTTATTTTAAGACTGAAAGGAAACGTCTTGCGATTTGGAAAAATGGAGCCGAAGCTATACTGAGTAGGGACGAAGAGAAGACTATTGTTTTTTGGATATTTGCAATGGCCAAAGCGGGATTTCCCATTGGAAAAGAAGCTTTACTGACTAGTGTGCAACACCTGATTTGAGAACTTAAAAGAAAAAACCCGTTTAAAGACGACAGACCACGAAGAAAATGGTACTACAGTACAAGCGAAATCCTGAAGTTTCGACCAGAACCGCTCAAAATTTGACAATAAGCAGAGCATCAGTAACAAAAGAAAAACTAGATAATTGGTTCCAAGAAGTAAAAACATATACGAGCCCTGTCTCAGTGAAGTTGGCCCAACCACTCAAAATATAAAATTTGTAATTTTATGCGATGAAAAGCCAACAATTTTTTATCATATGTAATTCTTGGTCAATCTTCATGTTGTAATTTTTTTTTTTAAAATATGTGTATGTATATTATTTAGTTTTAAGTTGGATGTTTGGTTACAATACCAAAAAATCGACAAAAATGCATTAACTTGGATGGCCAGATTTTTTAATGCAAGTCGGCTGTGCTAAAAGTAAAGATAATATTTGAGATTTAAATAATTGTAAGCAAGTCGCTAGTGACATTCCAGTATATATTTATGCTTTCGGTGTGGTTGACAAATAATAATGTCCCGAGGAAAAGCTGTTTCTGAAGAAATAAAAAAGTGATAATTCACTTGCATTTAAAAAGAAAATCCGCTGCACAAATCGCTGAAACTGTTAATTTGTCACGATATACAGTGCGAAATATTATTAAACTGCACAAAACTACAGGATCTATGGCGCAGAAACCAATAAATGGAAGTCGTCCTCACTATTCTGATAAAAATTTAAGGGCTTTAAGAAGAATTATCGTTCAAAATCGTAGGGCTAATTACGGTGAATTAAAAGTTTTGTGGAATCAGGCAACGAGTAAATGTTTTTCAAGAGCAACCTGTCATAGAGCTGCTCAAAAACTTGGGTTTAAAACTTACAAGGTTTGCTTATAATGTATACGATTTTTATTTATTTTTAATTTTACTATCTGTAGGCAAAGGAAAAACCTTTATTGACAAAAAAACAGAAGAAAAATAGACATCTCTGGGCAAAAGAGCACAGGACTTGGTGTCAAAATCAATGGGATTCAATTATATGGAGTGACGAAGCTAGATTTGAAGTTTGCGTTGGTGATAATCGAAGCCAAGTCATTAGAACTAAAGCAGAAGTCTTTCACAATCACTGTCTTGAGAAAAAAGTAAAGTTTCCGGCCTCTGTGATGATTTGGGGATCTATGTCAGCTAAAGGGATCGGTAAATTACACTTTGTAGAGGGAATTATGAATGCTGATAAATATATTTACGTCCTAAAAAATAACTTAAAACCGCAAATTGAAGAAATGCGTTTAACTGATATTGAATGCATCTTCCAACAAGATGGTGCAGCGTGTCATACGGCTAAAAAAGTGAAAGCTTGGATGATAAAAAATAATATTTCACTTTTAAAATGGACATCTAGTAGTCCAGATCTTTCGCATATAGAAACTTTGTGGCATATTATGAAAAAGAAGCTCAGAGAACAGCCCGCAAGAATCGTCTTAGAGTTGCGTGCTCGCCTGCAAGAAATTTGGAATAATTTTACGCCAGATGATTGTCAAAAATTGGTTGACACCATGCCGAGACGTATACAGGCAGTAATAAGCCATAAAGGAGATGTTACGCAGTGGTAGTTTCCAATTAAAATGTATTTATTTAAAATATTTTTTTTTCTTAATTTTTGGTTTACGGACAATATAAGAGAATTTTAAATATTTTTTTATTAGGTACTTAAAAATACAATTTAACGGTAGAAAATTTAATAAACGTTATTTATTTAATTAAAACAATGTGTTAATTTTAATTAATTACCGTATAATATTCTAAATATCTTCAAAAAACTATTTTTGTTAGTTGGGCCAACTTCACTGAGACAGGGCTCGTATAACAAATAATAAATATGAAGAGATTTTAAATGACCCTAAACGCATTTTTAATGGCGATGAGTTTGCTTTTTTTCTGAATCCAAAAGGCAATAAGGTATTGGCCAAAAAGGGCGATAAGACTGTATATCAGCAGGTGAATATTGATGAGAAAGAATGTCTCACTGTACACGTGCTTATAACTGGTAATGCGGACGGTAGAATGGCGCTACCTATGATAGTGTTTAGATATTCAAGAATCCCAAGAGAAATAACTGTCAGCGTTCCTGGATCCTGGGGAATCGGAAAAAGCGAAAACGGGCGGATGACAGGGGAAACCTTTTATGAATACCGCCAACGTATTTCATCCATGGTTATTAGAATCCGAAATTACATTACCAATAATTCTGTTCATAGATGGACATGCTTCACACTTAACATTTCACCTGAGTAAATTTTGTAATGAGAAGGGTATAATAGGGCTATAAGTATATACTTATAGCCCTATTTCCGAATGCTACCCATCTTATCCAGCCTATGGACGTAGCAGTGTTTCGGACATTGAAGGATGGTTGGAAAAATAAAGTATACGAATGGAGATTATTAAATTATGAATCTCCTGTATTAAAAAAAATCAATTTTGCACCATTGCTTGAGGAACTTTTGGAGAACCGGGTAACCCCATCTGTCCTCCAAAATGGATTTCGTAAAAGTGGTCTTTTTCCTTGGGACCCAAATGCTGTAGATATAAGCACCAAAGTGAATGAACCTGATATGACAACGAAAACGGATAAGGAAAATATATCAAGAATAAAGTTTCTGGAGAATGGTCTAAAATTCCTGGAAGAAACCATTGAAAAGGACAAAATTTTGGAATTTAAAAACTGTGATGCATGGGAAGGAGATATACGCGATGGTTCACTATTCGATTTGTTCAAAGAGAAAACATCTGAACTAGAAAAGCTCAAAACTTCAAGGGGCAATAATAGTAAAGCCACCGAAAATATAGATGATCAAGACAACGATAAACCTAGTAAAGAAGCTGAAAACCAAAACAACAAGGCTCTAAATCAAGTCACTGACAACACCACTGAAGGGCGATCCAATTTAGAGTGTTTTGCAAGACCTTCAACTCCCAAGAAGCCTTAAATTACGACAACTGATATTACAATAGACCTTTCCACATGCTCAAACTCGCAGTCGTCAACATCATCCTCCTATTTGATTCCATCTTCTTTTAAAAGGGCTCTGTTTTGGCCAGAACCGAAAGAAACAAAGCCATCAAAACGAGCAAAAAAAGAAAAAGTACCGTCGATAATAACATCACGAAACTGGCAAGAGTACCACGAAAAAAAGAAAATTAAAAAAATAAGAAAAAGAAAGATTGAAAAGGGAAAAATAAGAAAAGAGGAAGCACGATAAATTAGAAAAGCCTAAAGCAGTTCGAAGAAAAGTATATAGCTCTTCAGATTCAGACAGCTATGAAGAATGGCAAGAGTCTGGTGATAGTCTTGATGACATCAATTTTAGCATGCATTCTAAAACGCCCATTGATGACGAACCAATTGCTGAAGAAAACACTACAAGTGACCAAATTTTAGACCAATTACCTGAAGAAACCCAAAACAGCATTTTAAATCAAGTACCATCGCATTTATACAAAGAGGGCGACTACATCGTAGCATCTTTTCCAGGCAAAAAAAGGGAACATAAGTTTGTATGTGTAATACAAGAAATATGTAATGAAGATGATATTGAAGTTTTAGGGATGATAGAGTGTGATGAAACAAAAAGATCGTTTAAATGAAATGAAAATGATGTTAGTGTTATAAGGTTAATTCAAATTATAGAAAAGCTTGATCTCCCTGACATAAGTTGTGCCGGAGATCGCCTGAAATATGAATTTCATAAAAACTTGACGTTGACGGATAGTTTACAAAACCTGTCAACTACTGGTACCTTTTGATGTCAACAACTAGAGAAGAAAATTTTTTGGATGTCAACTATTGGTGAATTTTTAATACAAAATATATAAAACAATATCTAAAAAGTTTTTCAGTTTTAAGCCAAAATAGAATAGGGTATTATTAATATATACTTTGCGATCTAGAAAATCAAACTATTTGAAAATATAACTATTTTATAAATTTATTTGTGATTTTTGTTTCTTAAGGTGTCATCCACTGGTGCCATAAATATTTTAATTTTTTTATAACCAAAACCTTGTGGTAAAATAAAAATTCTGCTTTTTTCGTGATATAAACAAAAATCTGTATATGTGTCCTGGACTACGGAAAGTTACCTACAGGTACCTTTCCGTAGTTCATATATGGTTAGAAATCAAGTTATCGAGAAAACAGCTGTTAAAGATAACAAGTCGTGTGCATGGGTCGCGTTTGTATTTGCGCTTCTTCTACCTCTTCTTTTACCGGTACCTATATGGTTAATACCAAAGTATTGCTACTTTGTTGATTTAAGGTAGTTTAACAAATTGTTGTTAAATTAAGAATAAAAAGTAATTGAATAAATCGAAATATCATTAGGATTATTTTTGCACATTATTTTTTTTTGAAAATAAGAAATTTGGTAACGACCCAGCAAAAAAGGAATACCCTGTATAAATAAAAATACCTAATATTAATATAATATTAACATTTTATGGGTTTTTGAACATTAAATGTTCAAAAACCCATAAAATTTTGTTCCCTACAATCCCCTCGATTCCAGTAGTTCCTAAGATAAGTAAATGGGTCACCCTACGTGAACCACTTTGTATATTTACTATTTAAGTAATAAGTAACCCAGATAGCACAAAATAGCCCACGGACATCCTATTTAGGTTATTCTCGGCTTAGCCAGGCCGAACGGGTCTGAGACATCCATAGGACGTCAAGTCTAGACCCAGTCCACCTTAGCCTGGATAGGCGTATTTTGGATTCTAGACTTGACGTTCTATGTCCCAGACCCGTTCGGCCTGGCTAAGCTGACGTCCCTTTTCACACAGCACAGGATGTCGTTTTTGAGATATAGTCAATTCCATATTAAATGGAAAATTGACTATATCTCAAAAACTGTTCTACTTTTTTAACTTTTGACGACATTTTCGGATTCAAGGGACAACTTTACATAAGAATTGGCTGTTACATTTTGGGATACCAGCAAAATTTTTTTGACGCGTCGTAATTTGTGAGTCTCTGTTTGTTGTTCGATAAGTATTTCTTTTATCTGTTTCACCGATTCCGTGACATTCTCCCTTGAAGAAGTGGAAATTTAATTTCTAAATCCTTAACAAAATCGTCCGTCGACTGGGTACAAATTGACAGCTCGCCTCTGAAAAAATATATACAGGTATATATATTCAAAATAGCCTTCAGACGTCCTGGATAGGTCTATCCAGGACGTCTGAAGGCTTTTTTGAATAGCCAGGCTGTTGTGGCCGGCTCTCGGCCAACTATACACAGCCGACACTCGGCCGAGTAAACATACAGGGTGTCCCAGAACTCGCGCCACAGAGAAAAAGGGGGCGTGCCGATAGCAATGAAGATGCCAAAAATAAAAATAAAAAATTTCTAGGTAATAGTGTAATCGAATGAGAGCAAAAAAGCGGCAGCCAATACCGAGAGCTCTCGCCTAGGTTAAACGTAAGAGCTTTAAAAATTGATAGGAGACGATAGAACATTGTTGTAAAAACATTTAAAAATCTTTTGGCCAACTGTATTTACTAAGTTGTCAAAAGCTTTCAAAAATGAGGTTATTAATCTATGACTTATACTTCAGAACGCCAATGTTTTAAAATAAAGATTAGGAAAGGGCTGGAAAAAAACTCGCGTTGTCTCCCTGGCGTTGCGCCCACACTAAATAAATAAATAATTATCATTTCAGTATAATCATCTAAGGAAACATTATTTATAATAACTTAATTTATAACCTAATATAATATTAATGACAGGAGTTTGGCAGCAGTGTCACAATGAATTGGATTCCAGTGGACCAAATATTTTACATATTCTTTATTATCAACAATGCAACCTAAGTATTCTAGCAATTTAAGGAATTCCCTATGGCCATCTATTGGGATTGGCTATCGTTTTTTATTCTTATCTCGCTTATCCTTTGCGTTAGACAATTTTAATTTTCAAATATGTGTTTCACGTTACTTTTGGCACGTTCCGGTTTTCTATGTGGCGCGAGTTCTGGGACACCCTGTATATGGTACCTATAGGTGAGAATATACTTACTATATATTATATAGGTACTTACTATATATTATATAGGTATAGGTATGTAATTTTTAGTTTGGCGCATTATAGAACAAAATATAATGAATGAAAATTATTTTTGTTTATATGAATATAAAGCTTATTTATTTAAATTATTTAAATACAAAAAAAACAAGGCTCCAAGTCAATTGTTAAGGTCACAAATTAATTTTGATTAGAAAAGTACCATTCCAGACCACCGTAGGACGTTGCTACAGCATACAAGTTTAACTTTTTGTCAAACTGCGGCCATTTTTTTCTCAGCAGCATACATGTACATTCGAGAAATGATTGGAGTATTTGTTATAAAAAAATAATGCAAATTTTACAATTAAAAAATTACAAAGAGTCTATGTCAAAACAAGATTCCAACGCTAGTTATATCGTTGGAATCGGATAATTAGTTCAGCCATTATGAATTTTTTTATTTTTTTAATGACTAAAAACTGTTAATATCATTGCCAATTTTTTTCTTACAAAATCCTTTTGGTTTTGTGTTAGTAATGTAAAATACTATTGAAAAAATGTATCTACAATCAAAAATTAATTTTGACCTTTTGACAGTTAAGAAATTCTTATCTTTCTCACATTACGGAACATCGCTGAAGAATTAGACGGCACTCTGTTACAATCCCCACAGAAAAAACCGAGTGTTAAGTTAGGTGATCGGGCAGGCCACTCTGTCTAATCCAACGTTCAGCATATCGCATATTTAGATGCCGACGAACTGAGGCTTGTTGAAAATGCAAGTTCTGTTATTATTATTATTATCACCCATACCTAATATAACAAGTTGAAACAGATTGAAACCGAGCTGCAGATTTCACGAGTCCGCAGGACGAGTGAAATTTGCTGCTTCGGTTTCAATGAGTAAATATCATCGATAACACTATTTAACAAAATTTGATTTTTGTTTTGTTTATTGGATTTTTTTGTAAAATTATCAATATTTGTGTGCCAACTTAATTTAAAAAATTTTGTGATAAGTTTTTATTTTTTAAGGGGTATTTATATAATATAATCAAACCCAGTTTTATCACAGTCTCGTCCCAGCCGTCGAGTGAGTAAGTCGATGTAGCAGAGTCGGAGAGTAAACGTAAAACGACAAAACCATAACCAACAAATAAACCCTCATAGTGCAAACAACTATAGTATAAAAAATACAGTGAGTACAGACTACTCTACGGTCAATAATCAGTTAAGGGCCAAGTGAAAAGGAAGAGAGAAGTGACAAGTGCAAACGAACATAGTTAAACGGTCAAAAGAGTGTTAAGTGACAAGAATGAGTTAAGTGACAAGTGTCAGTGCCTGAGCGGTCGCACCATCTGTCAACAGGATTTCCACTGGCCAAACAAAAGAGGCCATACAAGGGAGGAACAGGCCACCTGCAAATATTTGCTAAGTATCCTCAAATCATCCGCATGACTTAACACATAATTTGCAAATTAAACTAAACAAGGCACATTGCCTAATCCCTACTAAAAAAATCAATAATCATCGGCAACAAATAAAATAAAAAGTCAATTTCCAAGAAAAAACCAAACAGCCGATCGCGGACACACACCAAAGTTGAACAGGGCAATTAAGCTGTCAACATAACAATTCAAGTAAAAAAACCGAGACCAACTAAATTTGACACTTAAGACATAAACAACACATAAACTAAGAAAACATAAACAAAGTAAAAAAAAGCACTCTAATCAAACTCTATGGAATTTGTAAACACACTTGACTTTATAGTAAAAGTAAAAAAAATACCCCCCACTGGGAACTGCCTTATCGCAGCGATTGCACATCAGCTGTGTAAGTGACAAAACAGGACAAATTAATGCCTACCTAAACGACCACGGTAATTACGGCTTCTGGGCCGGAATGGAAACAATACTAGCCGCCTCAGACGTAGACAACGTAACAATATACTACAAGCCACCCTTAAACTAGATCTTAAAGACAAAAAAGTCGGGAGACCATGCTTCACATTTCATGACACGTTAGCACAAAACATGCACTTCTCACAAATTAACAAGAACAGTTGGTAGCAACTAAGCAACAATAAAACAAAATAAAAAAAAACAACCGACACACTTTACCAAGTTCAGGAACTATCCAACACGGATAATGACAATAATGAACAAGACGAAGACCTCGACTAGGAAACTACACCCTGCAGCGTAATAACAACTCCCCAACTCCAAATAGTAATTCCAAATGTTTGGAATAATATTAATCGATTGGTCTAGGGGGATTCCGCGTCGTACTTAGTTTTAAGTCGGCGTAATTTTCCCCCAAAAACCAACACCCTCCCGTCCCTTCTCCATACCCCACTGAGCGTATATCATAGGCTCGGCGAACCCGGGAATGGCTATTATAACTATTCGCCTCTCGCTCTCGAGCTCCAAATAGGGGACAGTACGGAACGCAATGGACATTCGCACCCAGCAAACACGGGTGAAGCCGTGAAGTTGCTGGGGAAGAACAAAAATCGGCGTAAGTAAACATAGGCCTGTACGGGGTTCGAGAGTCAAGAGGAAATGGGGCTGGTTATACG